TATATCCACGGCTACTATCTGTGGTGTGTTCTGAAATTTTATTTAATGATCCCATGAAACCTTCAAAACTTGATAGACATTTGCAGTCAAAACCAAAGGATTTAGCTAAGAAACCACTTGAATATTTTGAAAGAATGCGTGGAGATATGCAAAAGCAAGTAATATCTATGAAGAAAATGACTACTGGATATAAATCTTTGTTGAATGCTTCTTATTTGGTAGCACTTCAGATTACGAAAAATAAAAAGGCCTTTACAATTGGAGAAGACTTAATTAAACCCTGCATGTTATAAGCCTGTGAAGAAGTTTTAGGAATTCAGGCTGTCAAGAAACTTAAAGAAATTCCTATGTCCGCTAACATTATTAAGCGCCGAATTGAAGAAATGGCTGAAGATATCGAAAATCAAGTAATAATAATGGTAAAAAATTCACCATTTTTCTCAATTCAGCTTGACGAATCAACGGATGTTAATAATAAGGCACTCCTTCTTTGTTTTGTAAGGCTTGAGTATGAAAGAAATCTACTGGAAGAACTACTCTGTTCACTTAATTTGTCGGTCAGAACAACTAGTTCTGAGATTTTTAAAACATTCAATAGATATTTTTGTGAACGTGAAATTGAATGGGGAAAATGTATTGGAATATATACGGACGGTGCTGTAAACATGGTTGGACATCTTTGAGGCGTTGTTGCAAAAGTGAAAAAAGTTGGTCACCCTGTCATTTTGTCCACACACTGCATTTTGCATCGTGAACAACTTGCGTTAAAAAAAATGTCACCAGAACTATATGATGTATTATTAGATGTTATCAAAATTGTAAATTTGATTCGACACAAAACACTTCATTCACGTTTATTTGAAGCACTTTGTGGAAAATTAGGTTCCCAGTATACACACCTTCTTCTTCATGCTGTAGTGAGATGGTTGTCGAGGGGAAAAATACAAACTCGTCTATTGCCCTGCGTGAAGAAGTTATACTATTTTTCGAGCAGCAAAATAATCTGAAATTTCAAGAACTTTTATCTGATGATTAGTGGGTAGCTAAGCTTGCATATTTTCAGATATTTTTTCGCTGTTAAACGAGCAAAATATATCTGTGATGGTGTCACGTTACCATTATTGTGAGAATTGTTTTAATAAAATACAGACAGCACATCCGCATCTTGAGACTGATGAATTAACAAATTGTATTGATTGCCAAATTGGTCATAATTCTAATTATTATAAAAACCCAATAGACCTGACCATCGTGGTCAGTCGACTCCAGTGCCTTGTGTCATTCATCAGTCTCAGTATTCAGTTGTCGCTGTCCGGCTTACTGTTTAAAGTAAAGTCTTTGTTTATTCCGTTTTATACCTATCTACTCTCTTTCACAACATTTCAGAGTACTTGTGTCTTGCACTTCGTCTGCACCTCGTACTCTGTTATTTTTCCTCACCTGGTACGCCTAGTATTTGTGTCTTGTACTTCGTCTGCACCTTATACTTGGCTACCCCGTTCTCTCTTTGAAGTACTTGTGTCTTGCACTTCGTCTGCACCTCGTACTTTGTTATACTCCTTATCTGGTACGCCCAGTATTTGTGTCTTGCACTTCGTCTGCACCTTATACTCGGCTACCCCGTTCTCTCTTTGAAGTACTTGTGTCTTGCACTTCGTCTGCACCTCGTACTTTGTTATACTCCTTATCTGGTACGCCCAGTATTTGTGTCTTGCACTTCGTCTGCACCTCATACCTAGGTGTTACCCTGATTCCCTTCCTATAACAACAGCCTTTCGACACCCACAGCTAACCCGGAGTGTAGCCGAGCACGGTGACTGCTGTACGACAACACGCACGTGAATACCTAGACAGCAGGCACCACATCCTCATATTCATCTTCGTACACACATTACCCATAAACTTTTAAATTTATACTGGTCCATTTTACTGTGTTACGACATATCCTTGCAAGGGCAACTTAAAAACGTGTTTACACTACGAGATAATATAGAAGCTTTTTATAAAAAAATTACTACTGTAGAAAACACGATTAGTTGAAGGAGATATGCAAATGTTTTCAAATTTTGATGAATATTTGAAAGATAAAGACGTTAATCAGCATATAGTAATAGTTGTTCAATATCACTTAATATCACTCATAGAATCTTTTGATCGTTATTTTTCAAAAAATGAAGATCCTAGACATGGAAATATGTGGATCATTGATCCATTTGCTGTAGCAAATAATGAAAATAACAATTTAAGTATGGACAAAAAAGAAAGCCTCATTGATTTATCATCAGACTCTTCTCTTAAAGCTAAATTCCAGTCATCCTCATCGAAATCTCAGTTTTGGCTCTACGTTAAAAATAAATATCCCTTGCTAAGTGAAAAAGCAGTGAAATTTCTAATTCAATTTTCAACAACATATTTATACAAAAAAACATTTTCATCGGTCACTACTATTAAAAAGAGGTACCGGTCTCGACTTGACGTAAGCAAAGCTCTCCGTCTTGCCGTAACAACATTAGAACCAAAAATGTAAAAACTCATTCAAAATTTGCAAGAGCAAGTATCTCATTGATAAAATGTTTAATACTCAAGCTTAATTCTTTTTGTATTAATTGTAAAAATAAAAACAATTATATTATATTATTTAATACTTGTATTTTTATTTTAATATAGTGTTTGACTAATCAGTGGTGTGTATATGGAAAACATAGATACACTGTTCTTCTTCCTCTCTTGAATTGTCTTAAAAATTTGGTTATATGTTAAGGGATGACAGATTCTGGGCCCTCAAAACTTCTAAAATCTAAATTCTAAACTCTAAAGTATTACTGGTCCGTAAAATTTTCAGTATTGGATTTAGTGGTCCGTGAGGTCCTAAAGGTTGGCGACCGCTATATACTATATAGTATATAGTATTGGAGTCATACATCTAGACAAAAGTATCTCTGAAGAAAACTTTTGTGATGGTCATGAATGTTGAGAGGTATTTGCGCAATATTTACAGATTAAGCTTCACGGCGTAACACATGTAGTATTACTTGTTTAACCAGCGTAGCTACTCATACAGTTAGTTTATAACGACATTTGATATATTTTCACAAGGTAGAGCATCACACTCTGTTTATGATATTTTATAATTACAGTCCATTCACGCAATTTAACACATGTTCATTAATAAATATTTTTCAAAATAGGCGTATACAGATAGCTATTAAGAATCATCATGGTCGTTACAATGAAAATCAAGAAATTTGAAGTTACAGGATCCCGACCAGATTCTAATGATAGTCAATAATATTATCTAAATTAAGATACGANCGACCAGATTCTAATGATAGTCAATAATATTATCTAAATTAAGATACGACGAATGATTTGAATAATAAACGTTATTTTTATATATATATAAAAAAAATTGTTTTAATTAAGTTATTTATTATTTTATTCTATGTAGCTTATAATTTAAAAAAATGCTTCACATACAAACAAATTTATATTTATTGATCCAATGATGAAACTGCAAATAATGATTATGACAGGATTTGTAAAAATAATTTTTTTAGTTTGAAACAGTTTTAATTGATTTTTGTGTTCTTTTTGTTCCAATACAAAAAAATATGTCTGCTTTTGAAATGTTTTAAAAAAATATATAATATTTTATTTTAATTAATTTAATGTATGATGATTGGAAATAAATAATGAAGAACTTAAATACAATTGTTACGTTGCTTTTATATATATATATATATATTATAAGAATTGGTCAATCTAGTTAATTTAAATTAACCTTTACTATAATTAATGCACTAAAATTAATGATTTTTTTTTAACAATGAATGGTAACGAATCTGAGAAGGTATTAATTTTACTATGATGTGTTTTTTTTTTTTATTTTTATTTTTTTGTATGTCTGTTACCACTTTTTCTCAGCTCTCACCGAACCCATTTCTTTCAACGATACGTCATGAGATCACAAATCGTATCTAGTCAAAGAAATTATCCTCAAAAATTGAAAAAATTTCTCTCATTCCTCATAAATGGAGTAAATCTTCAAAAAAATTACAAATTTAAAAATCGCTAATTTTTTCAATTTTTTTTTATTTTAAACTGCCATTTTCGGACTTAATTTCGTCTTTATGGTAAAAATAGTTACCAAATGCTATTTTTGTGTGAAAATTCTCGATTTTGTATTTTACATTTTTAATTTTATAATTCTATCACTTATTGAAAAGTATATGGATCAATACAATTTTTTTGAGTAATAATATTTATATCCCTCTTTCATTCGACCCACTTTTTTTAATAACACAATTTCCCTTTATATATTTATATATTATAAATTTATATAGATATATATATTTATTCATATATTACCCTTTAAATCATAAAACTTATGATCAGGATATAAATAAAGAAATAGCAGATCATGTAGCATTTGGAATAATTCATTATTTTTTTAAAATTAAACATTATCTACAGATTTGCATCGAAGCGTTTTTTGTAATAGTGTTTTTAATCACTGTCAGATATCATAATACATGACTCAACTATGTCACATCCCCACTGTACCGCGATCCCACTGTGCTGGGTTTTTTATTTTTGTAATTTTTCGTCCATTTTTCTTTCATGTTATGTTTGCATTTAATTGTATTATATTCAATTTTTCAGTGGGTAATTAAACAATTTTTAATCTTTTTTATTTAAAAATTATATTCCACAAAAACCTTTTGAAAACACAAAAATATATTTTAAACTATAAGTCATTGCAAGAGCTGCTTTAAAAAAGATTAATACAATAGTTTAAAAATAAAAAGTTTAAAACTTTGTTACACAAAATACATAATCATTTCGAATTATAGAAAATGTATTGATTATCATTATTCGTCCTGTAGTTAGTTTTGAGGATGAATGTAGCTACTTATCAACTTGGGAAAACTTCCTGCATCCCAAAAAAAAAATACTTCTGATCAATATTTTAAAAGCTACTAATAATTAAAAGTAATAACCGTTGGTGAGAAGTGGGTGCTACTATTTTTTAACATATTTCTCTGCTCCTTCCGTACTCATCTTGCCGCCTAAATATAAAAATGTTAATAACTTCTGAAATACTGGTCCAAAGTTGTTATTAATCAATAATTTTCTTAATTAGAACATTATCTAATAAATAAGTTAATTAATTATGTACGTATGATAAGTTAGAAGTTAACATTTATAAGTAGGGTCCGGGACTAATACACTAAAAACCCTAAGATTATGTATTTAAATATGCATTTTAAAAATTTTGTATGTTTGTACGGAACGCCCGGTTATGATGTGCGGGTTAGTTACTGTTCTTTTCTGGAGTATCTATATCATGCAGGAGAAAGAAGTATGGAGTGGACTGTATAAATGAGTAAATGTATTGAAAGAATATAAAACAATAAACTGTATTGTATTTTTAATATAAACTAAAATATTATATATATCAATGTGGGTAGGGGGGCCCTTAATGCTAATATGCAACAATGCGTTAAATAAAACAAATAATAAGATAAAAATAAGACAAAACAATATAATTAATAACTACTTATCTATACTGATGATGACTGGTTGATGCCAATGAAATCGTTGGTATGATCATTGAACCAGACAAAATGTACTGTCGCGAATATTATGAGCGTATCGCTATATTATGAGGATAAGTGTATGAGCGTATCGCAAGGGCGATAAACAATAACGCACAAAGGTGCGAAAATCGCAAGGGCGATATATAAACGTTTTTAACAACTACGTACTCGCAAGCACCACAGAGCCATACAACAAAACGAACTAGGATGGCAGCGAAAATGCAAAAAAAATGTCACACAAGGACTGATAATAACTAGGCGAGTCACAAGAATCACGCACGTAAACATCCAACGTAATAATCTCTCGCACAACCGTTTTGGTAGTGCGCGAGGCGTTATCAGTCATAAAAATAAGATGTAGCAAAACGCCCTCTCGTAATGCGTAATCAACATTGTATGTGCAATTAAATACGAACTATTGTTAATTTATGCAGTGATATATAGAGTGTTTAGAAAGTAATCAGGTTTCAATTGTTCTCACTTTATATAAATTTTCAGTTAAATTTATGTTGATTTTGCAATTTTTTTAAATACGAATTTTCAATATTTTTGAGAGAGCTAAGCCCTTCCTTTTCCCATGACCCTTTCATTATAAGGTAGAAATGATTGTGGCCTGTCTTATGATGTTATATGGCCATCTAAAATTTTAGCACCAACAATAAGAAAAAAAAAATGACGCTCATGTTACTTAAAGCAAACCCCATTGAGTTAGCAATAAAAAATTTTTCAGAGAGCTATGTTCTCATATTCTATTTTATAAATTTAGATCAAAAAGCTATGAGAAACGTTTCTACGTTATTGCTTTATTTATCCCTTTCCATCACCAAAATAGAAATTTTGTTTAATTGTGTTGACTACGAATATTTCTTGGGGGAAGTAAAGCTCCTATGCAAACTAATTAATTATTATCTTAATTTAAGATATAAATAAAAGTGTCAGTATTTTCGGAACACTATTCAAAAATAAGTTGAAAAAATTAATATTTTTTTTTAAAAGTTATAATTTTGAACCCACCCTAGATTTTCAAAAAAAAAAACAAATGATGGATAAATACTGTAATATAGGTCATTATTTTGTAAAATTGAAAGTAAAACATTTTTGTAATGTTTGGTTTAATTTTAATTTCTTGATCTATTGTTACTTAATATAACAGTTACTAGTCTTTTATTTGTAAAACTAGAAGTAAAATATTTTTGTTATGTTTGGATTAATTGTAATTCCCTGAATTATTGTTACTAGACCAGGTAGTAAATATTTATAAACATTTTTGAAAATGATTGTATTATGAATTTTGTAAAAAAGAAAAACAAAATATTTTAAAATATAAGACGAAATGGAATGAATTGAAAAGGAGAGAAGACTTCGGGAGTACCGAAGGTAATCTCTTTTCGCGTAATACGTTATGACATTAAGTTTTAATTTTGTGTATTGTTTTATTGTGTTTTAAATGTATCTTTATTTTGTATGTTTTACATTGTTTGATTATATCTTTAATAATTACATTTGCGTTATTATTGAACTCTTATTATAATAGTTTGAACAAAAAAAGATTGTTTCATATTTAAATACAACAAAGTGGCGCCCAACTAACGGCTCGATCATACGACTCCGAGATTATACTTATATTGTAACCAGATCAAACATCAATGTTAGTACTATTGTTTTGATTATTTGATAATAATTGACGCGTATCCAATATATACTGATGAACACCACACAAAATGTTAAGATTCTATAGGTAAATTCCACTTTCAAATTAAAGTATATCTATATATCTATATATAAATATATATATTTCTACATTCTTAATAATTATGAGTACCGTTCCGCACAAAACCGTAATTAAAAATAACAGCTATATAAATTATTGTTCCGCACAAAACCGTAATTAAAAATAACAACTATATAAATGATTCAACAATCAGCGTTAAAATCAATAATATTGTGATGGTGTCAGCGGCGGAGCTTAATCCAACACCGCCAGAAGAAAACGAACGTTTATCTTACAAAACAGGTTGGGCACATAAGCTAAATACTGACGAAGCCACAACTGAACTAAACAAAAGAAAACTAACCACTACCGGCACTCTAAAACAAAAGAGAGACCGCTTGGTTAGGTATATAAAAGGTTAGAGGCTCCCGGAAGATTTTTTTGTAGATCTTAACGAATCTTTTACCGTATTACACACCAAAAACATGGCTAGTGATGACAACAAGAACCGTAGAAAGCCATTCATTAAGCCAGATCAGTTTAGAGAAGAAATTCACGAAAGCGTAGACCTGTTTCTTAAGCGATACAAGAGGGCCAGCATCATAAATGAATGGAACGACGAAGAAAAAGTTCAGTTTTTACCAGCCTTCTTGGAAGGTACGGCTTTACACTTCTATGAGAATCTAGAGGACAACACCGTCGGCCAAATCAAGTGGGAAGATCTAGAATATAAAATAAGGTTGGAATTTGAACCAACAGCTCAAACAGACATGATAAGAATGATCTTACAAAAACTCAATTACTTACAGAATAAATATATTTCAACATTTTTTTTTTTTGGTTATCTTTAGGTACACATTATTTTTGAATTTTTAACTATGTAATACTTTTTAAGTTCATCCCTTATGCCTTGGAGGGGGGTCAACTTTGTTTTTTTAAATGGTAACACATATTTTTAATTTAATAAAATGTTTGAGTTTTTAATTTAATAGTAAATGGCATTTGAATTTTTAATATAACTTTATTTGTTTATTAGATATTAACATTTAAAGTTTCAAATTTTTGAGTTAATATACATGTATAATACACAAGGTATTACAAATACAGGTAGCCAATAGGATTTTTATGACATTGCAGTCATAGTCACGGATTGTTTATTATTAATTATGACTATCAATAGATATACTTTTTGTATTGTCAGTTAGTGTATTTATAAACTCACTACAATATGCCTTACTACCATTGATAATAACAATTCTGTATACCTGCGAATATTGATGTCATAAAAAATCAATGAAACTAGAGATAGAAAACCATAGCACAACAATGTATACAAAAGTATAATGAAACAGTGCACACAGTGAAAATATTTAGTCCTAAATATCTGATGGAAGGCACTATAACTACCCTTTTGCCAAAAGAATTAATTACAAATCAACAATTTACAAATTGAAATGAAGATAGAATGAAGGCACTACAAAACAGCATAAAATACCATGAGTATAATAAAAAAGTATATGACATAAATAAAAAAAACGGTAGCACAGTGGGGTCGAGGGACAGTGTAGGCAAGGCATAGATGGGACAAGTATAAATGATATTTGACAGTGATTAAAATCACTATCATAAGAAACGCTTCGATTCAAATCTGTAGATAGTGTTTCATTTAGAGAAATTGATGGATTATTCCAAAAGTNCTGTAGATAGTGTTTCCTTTAGAGAAATTGGTGAAATATTTTAAAAGCAACATGAACTCTTATTTCTTTGATTATATCATAATTAGTAGTTCTTTGATTTTAAAATATAATATATGAATAAATACTAATTATAATTAATAAATTTAGTATGAAAATAAAAAAGTAAAAAAAATTTAATAAGTTTAATTTCTTATGTCTTATGACCTTTATTCTATGTCAATTAAATTATATAATATTCATGAAAGTAGAATATCTCCTAATATGATATTTTAAAATAAAATAAAATACAAAACCTAGAATTTTAATAGAAAAATAGCATATTTTTGAATATGGTAGCCATTTGCGCATAGAAGATAGGTCGTCGGGACAAATTTTTTTTTTTTCATTTTATAGTACATAAAATAAGCTTTAATTTGATATATGTTTAAAGGACGCAGTATTTCCGGAACATTTTCAAAA